TATGTTAATTTAAGTTTAATCGTAATTTTGCATGTGAGTTTAGTTAATTGGACAACCAAATACAGATTGCTATCACCATTTAAGTAGACTGTACATTTAGATCAATAAAAGAAAGGAAGAATTTATCTTATGTTGTAATATAATAATAAATTAAAACAAATACAAAGTCCTTTGCAAACAATTTTGCTCTATCCTTGGAAAAAAATTAAAAATTTAAAAGAGACATTACAATCTAAAAGACTTTATCAAATTTTCAAGATTATAAAAGTTTAGCTCCTAAATATTTTCTGAAAACATTTTATTATATTGTTTATGCTCACTTTATTTAGATGAACATGTTAACCGCATTTGAGAAATAATTTAAATTTTTGATAAAAAAAACAGTTGAATAATTTTTTTCTTTAGTTTAAAGAACTTTAAACATGATTTTAAAAATCAAAAACTTGATTTTAATTCTGAAAGGAATATAAAATGGTTTTGCAACACTTCTTAAAGAAATAATTATTTCTTTTTTATTTGTAACTAACTAATTAATTACATAGAAAACATAAATACTTCAGGAAAAACTTAACATGATTTTGAATTAAAAAACCACTACCTAGTGGTAGTAGTTTTTCAATTCAAAATCATGTTAAGTTTGTATGAGATTTTTATTTATGAAGTTTTATTTATGAACACAAATTATATTTACATATATCTTATTGGTAACTTATTAAATATATTTATAAATTGTTTATAATCTTTATTAAAAATAATTCATTAAATACTTAAAAAAACAAATAAAAACAACTAAATTGTGATAAAATAAACAAAAAATTATTATGTTATATATAAAATAGTTTTAAAAACATAATGTACGGCTAAATGACGGCTAAAATGACAAAAAAAAAAAATGACAATTTTTTTATGTGTAAATTTGCTATTTGCTGGACTTTATTAATATTGAAACTCATAACTTATGGAACTTTTAGTTTAGACATATTAGTTTGGGCGCCCATACCGCCAAATGGTATGGGATTATGTCTGGGTACAGGACTGATTATATCCCTTGCATGATTATATTGAAGTGAGATGACGATACCAAATCTTGGTCAAGTAGCAGGTGAAATCGCACTCTATTTTTGACCACCCATTTAATAGTTTAGTAGATAAATTTAGTTGCAACAACTTGGCCACAGGTTTTTAGATGTTTTGAGAACCTTCAAATTTATGTATGCCCGAAAAATTTAGTTTTAACAGGCTAAAATAAATAACTTCGTAACATTGAACTTTTTTAATAAAATGTTTTTATATTAGTGATATAATTTTAAATTGAGTGACAATTTACTTTTATTGATTGTTTATTAAAAGAAAATTTAATTTTTTTTTTTTTAGTTTTATAAAGTTGAGTAAGTTTTATTCAAAATTATATAAAGTTTAGTAAATTATATAAATACAGAATAACTTTTTTTATTATTTAAAAAGCATGTGTTTTTTATGATAAATGTAAAACAATTTGTATAATCGATTTTATAAAAACTTTCAATAAAAATTGAATTTTTAATTTTATTATCATTAAAGATAATAAAACTAATAATCAAATAAACATACAGAAAATTATAGGCAACTGAAAACAAACATACATATATAATGGGTGATGTGTAAGTTATCGGACAAAATAAAAACGTCAATAACTTATCTATAAATGAAAAAAAAACCTAATATTATATTTTTTTAAATAAAAGTATTTATCTTTTAAGTTATTTTTTAAATAAAAAAAACACCACCAGCTGCAATTGATCTCAATTTTGCTCTGACGTCTTTCATAAGCAAATGTAAAAATTGATTTCTTGTAGTTTTGATTTAATTTGATAAATCAACTTGCTCTGTTGAAGCTTGCTAATCTCCCTTGTAAACCTTCTGGGCCAAATGTCCCCAAAAGCTTTTAATTGGTTGTGCTTGAGGCACATTTGGGTGATTGGATTCTTTATCAATGTAATAGACGTATTGGTCCATCCAATTTAAAAAATCTTGATGTGAAGAATTAATTACGACAGCCTTGGAAGTGCAAAACAATGGCTCGGACATACCACGGTCAGATATGACTACACATTAATAATTTGTTTGGATACACATTAATAATTTTTTTGGAAATATCTCTTTTCCTATAAAATGAACACTTTGTGGGCATATTTTTTTGTTGTCTGTGTAGTATCCAGAATTTCAAGGCATTGTCCCCTGCAAACAAAAGTATTTTTTGTCATCGATGACCAGAAGCGATTTTGTGTTATAGAGTTGGTTAACTAGTTTCCTGCTTCTTTTCTTTGCCTTAAATTGTTGTTTTATAGTGTATTTTAGAGTCTTCACATTTTCTATATTTAATATTCATTTTTTTTCACTGACAACCAATTGCCAATTGATTTACACCCAATTTAAAACCTATTTTTCTCTGACTGACCCCTTTTCAATTGTTGACAAGTCTCGTTAATTCAGCTTTCTTTTCTCTAGTCCAGGATGTTGGACAACCAGAGTGCTTTCTATCAGAAAATGATTGAACAGTTTTTAGGTTATCATACAAGGGTTTAATTAAGCGATCGCAAAATGAAAAATCCGTGAAAACATCTGGTCTTCAAAATTTTAGTTTATGCAAAACCATATTTTTTGTTTTCAAGGAAAAAAGCGAATCAACTAAAACTTGTTAGCAAAAAAGTTATAAAAAATAAAGCAATAAACTTATGACTACAAAAGTAATAACACTCTAGTAACTAACTGCATAATAAAAGTAATAACACTATAATAATGTTATTACTTTTATAATGCACTTTTAACTTTTATAATTCATTCTTTGTTCAAACAACATAAGTAATCCTGAATTTTAATTGAAGTAGAAAAGCGTCTAGAAAAATAGAGTGGATATTCAAACAATATTAAAAACTTATTAAGAAACTTAAACAACTTTATAAAAATGTATTGAATAAAAAGTTTAGCATTATGAAAAATGTTACTAATGGGCATTTCCAAAAAATCACGCACAGAAACTCGTATATGTTTTTACTTTTATTTTTATAAAAATAAAACTAGCGATCTCCAATTTACTCTCATTTAATTCTAATTAATATAAATATTTTGTAAACAAAAAATAGTAAGAATTAGTAATGTTAACAAAGAATAAATTAAAGTTTGAAATGGAATCACACACGAAACAGAAAAACTTCTATTTTAGTTACTAGATAAATAAACTTTAATTCCTCGGACAATATAAGTTTCACCGGTATACTTTTTTTATAAAATAATATTTTAAACATTAGTAAAGATTTCCAGAAAGTTACAGGATTGCACTATGAATCATATAGTCACATCAATTGTTTAAATGCAGTTTATGAATGATCACGCACGGAAGTCACGCACGGATGTTGCAAATTTGTCAATTTCATGTAGTTATTTTTATGAAAATAAATTGCTTGTGAGTATTTCAAGTGAAATATTATACTTCTGCGACTCATATTTAATATATTTTCGATGAGAAACGGCAGTCATCAATTATTTCTAGCTAGAGTATGGCGTTTTGAAAATTATTGTATATTTTTCAAAATATAGCGATATTATTACTCAAAAAATTAAAATTGTGTATATTTAATTTGTTCAGATAGCCTAAAATATGATTGTTCTTTAAGAAAATCAAAATAGTATGCATATTGCATAAAGCCCCAGCTTTTAATTGCTAAAACAAAGAAAAATAAAAAACCACGCACAGAAATGGAAATACCCTAATGGTAATGCGCATTAATTTTAAAATCAACCAATAAAATTTTTTTATTGGTTGATTTTAAAATTAACGCACATTTTTACGGATTATTAGTAACATTTTACATAATGTTAAACTTTTTGTAAAGAACGCTTTTTTAAAGTTGTTAAAGTGTATTTGTAAAAGTTCCTGAAGTTTTTAATAATATTTAAATATCCACTTTTTTTGAGATGCTTTTCTACTTCGATTAAAGTTAGGAATTATAAATTTTGTTTGAACAAAGAATGAACTTTAAAAGTTATAAGTGCTTTATAAAAGTAATAACACTATTATAGCTTTATTATTTTTATAATGCAGTTAATGACTAGAGTGTTATTCATTTTGTATTCGTAAGTTTATTGTTTTGTTTTTTATAACTTTTTCGCTAACAAACTTATAATAATTTGCTGTTTAAAAACAAAGTACACAACTTTGCATAAACTAAAATTTTAAAGACCAGATATTTTTCCAGAATTTTTATCTCAGGATTGCTTAATTCAACCCTTGTCATATATTGTACTTCAAGCAAATCCTTCCTTTTCAAAATGATTTACAATTTTTTTTTTTTTAATATATTACCTTTATTTACAAAAAACATTTTGAGTCGCTTTTGAAAGGACTCGTTCAGCTGCATTTAACCTCATTTTAAATAATTGTGTTTCAAATAATAAAGTTTATATTTTAGAAGATTTAAAAAAGCGTATGTTTAATTATAAAAATTAATCGTAAAAAACTTTCCCATTAATCTAAAAAATACATTCTTATATAAATAAATAAAGCTATTTTATGTTCTTGTATAATTCACATAAAATGTGTATAAAAGCTAGTCGTCAGAAAAGGTTCTAAACTTATTCATAAATTTAAGTAACTTAAAAACTTCTTTTTAAAACTAATGGTTTAAAAAATAGTTTCAAACATTTAAATTTATCATAAAAAATACATGCCTACATAAAAAAAATTTATATATAACATTTTTTATTAATTTACACATGCGTTTATGAAAATAATCATTATAATTAATTTTTATGGTTTTATTTAAAGTCTTTACGTAAAATAAAAACTTAAGAAAAGATCAACGAATAAAGTTAATCATAACATAACACTTTTTTAAATTGCATTCAAATTATTAAAACATCAAAATAGCCGTGGTCAAATTGTAATGAAAAAAAAATATTAGCGTGGTCAGTTACAGAGATTAATCGCACACCATTCCTGTCCAAGCCTGTGTTCTACGCATATATATATATATATATATATATATATATATATATATATATATATATATATATATATATATATATATATATATATATATATATATATATATATATATATATATATATATATATATATATATATATATATATATATATATATATATATATATATATATATATATATATATATATATATATATATATATATATATATATATATATATATATATATATATATATATATATATAATATAATATATATATATATATATATATATATATATATATATATATATATATATATATATATATATATATATATATATATATATATATATATATATATATATATATATATATATATTAGGTTATATATATTAGGGTGGCTCTTAAAACAACTTTTTTTAAAAAAACCTGCTCTTACCCTCTAAATGTGTTCTATCTAACACAAAAACACGAGGTTTAAATTTTTTTTGAGCAAAAAATATTTTTAGGAGTAGCTCAAGGCCCTCAAAAATTTGACGGGTCCCTAATATTTTGAAAAAAAAAGTTCTTCTAAAGTATGTCAACCTGGTACTCAAAAGAAGTAATATTATATAAAACTTTAAAAATAATAATCCATTTACATAAAAAACATGGCTAAAAAAATTATTCTCAAATATTGACTTTTTTTATTTTCAGCTAAAAACAATAGTTTTTATGCATTTATACCTGAAAAAATTATTTTTATAAAAAATTATTTTCATTTTTAAATTTTTTATATAATTTTGCTTATTTTGAGTACCAGGTTGACATACTTTAGAAAAAGTTTTTTTTCAAAATATTAGGGACCCGTCAAATTTTTGAGGGCCTTGAGCTACCCCTAAAAATATTTTTTGTTCAAAAAAATTTTAAACCTAGTGTTTTTGTATTAGATAGAACACATTTAGAGGGTAAGAGCAGGTTTTTCTCAAAAAAGTTGTTTTAAGAGCCACCCTAATATATATATATATATATATATATATATATATATATATATATATATATATATATATATATATATATATATATATATATATATATATATATATATATATATATATATATATATATATAGAGAGAGAGAGAGAGAGAGAGAGAGAGAGAAAGAGAGAGAGAGAGAGAGAGACTCACTCAATTTTGCTTTTTTCTTGAATTCTTATTTCTTCATCTCGCGCTACAACTTTCAACAAAATTTTTTTTTCTGCTTCTGTAAATTTTCCAGCATCAATATCAACAACAGGATCAAAGCCACCATTACGAGCTGCCATTTACATGTCTTTGATTTTAAAAATATTATTGAGTATAAAAACTTGCTGATGTTACTATAGTTATGAAATAAAATAACAAGATTTAGTTAATTTAATTATAATCTTAATTTATAGGAAATTAGTATTACCTATTATTTTTTAATACAGCATTATAAATATTTACTATTCTATGTTTAATACAGCATTATAAATAATTACTATTCTATGTGTATCCATATCGCAGTGGACACAGAGGTGGAAATAGACAAAAAATATTTTTCTGAAAATGCCTATAAAAATAATTTATTTAGAAAGTCAAATAAATTTGTGGATAAATAAAAAAAATGATATATAATTTTGAAGTTGGTAAATTTCTAAATTTTTTATGTATCAAAAAATATTTAGTGAAATATTTAATGGTTTTCATTTAAAATGATTTTACCAACATGAAAATTGTTAAACAGCTTATGCATAATTTGTTTTTTATTTGATATAGAATATATATTTGAATAAGTTAATTCAAATTGTGTAATTTGTTTTATTTGTATTTTTTTTTTTTTTTTGGCTTTATGAACTTGTTTCAACTTGTTTCTCCACACTGCAGCCTTGTTTGTCAAGGTTCGTGTTTTGGAGTTATAGAAAAAAATTAATTTGATTATTTTCCTTGTAAAGGTTGTATATATAGACAATCACCAAAAAAAAAACTGAGTACATTCATTCAAGGAAAAGTTAAAAATATACACCTAGGTCGTAGGGCTACAATCATGTCATATGATAGAGTATAGGTCTTCAATTTTTTTTTTTTTTTTTGTTGTCTGTATATAGAACCTTGCCAGTAAAAAGTTTCATTATTTATTTAAACTGTCTACGCTATTTTCTATACCTGCAAAATGAATGTAATTTATCACTTTTTTTCAAAAAAGTGTTATTTTTACAGGCTGCTGCAAGTGTTTAACTAATTTTAAATGCATAGTTTTGCTTTTTACCACAGGTGGTTACCCTAAGTAGACAAAATTAACAAAATATTTGCACTGCCTATCTGAAGGTATTGAACTGTAGCACATTAAAGTCTCCAAAAAAAATTTTAATATTGCAATATTAAGCGACTTTGGGGTACAATAACTAAAAAACTGTTCGAAATCAGTTGAAAGCACTTGCAAAAATAGAATATTTGGGTAAAAAACTATTACAGTACATATTTTCAGGTAATCACCTATTTTATTTAAGAATTTATGGTTTCAAAAAAATCAACTGTAAGCTCCAGATACTAACTTTTCTAATTTTGGTCAATATTGATTCAATCATAACTTTTAAATGATTTATCCAATCAAGCTGAAATTTTCAGGATTGTGTCTGAGGTGCTACCCTGGGGACCATTTGGTGATTTGATATGGAACGACCCAAAAGTGTTTCTAAAATGATTTCACAGTTGTTTATGAAGAAGAGGAAGCTTATAACAAAACCGTGTTTTTCAAAACAAAGAAAATCATTTACAGAACTGGGTGATAAGATGAAATAAGAGAAGACACAGGAACTTGTTAATTATATTTCTTTCCAATCGTAGTATAAAAGTTGTCCTCGATGGACAACACTCTTCTTCACATCCTGTAACTTCAGGGGTTTCTCAAGGTTCAATCCTTGGCCCTATACTCTTTTTAATTTACATTAACGATCTTCCAGATATTCTCACATCTAAGGTGGCATTATTCGCTGACGACACTACCATTTACTCTTGTCATGATAAGAAGCCTACACTCTCTGATTGCTTGGAGGGGGTATCTGAGCTTGAAAAGGATCTCACTTCTGCTACAGCATGGGGCTCACAGTGGCTGGTGAACTTTAATTCAGATAAAACTCAATTTTATTCGGCCAATCGTTATCGTAATAATTTAGATCTTCCTATATTTATGAATGGTAATGTACTAGATGAGTCATCTACCATTCATCTTCTAGGATTAACTCTTACTTCTGATCTTTCTTTTAAACCGTTTATCAAATCCATTGCAAAATTAGCATCTGCTAAGGTTGCATCTCTTTATCGAGCTCGACACTTTCTTACTCCAGATTCTATTCTCTATCTCTATAAATCTCAAATCCGTCCCTGTATGGAATACTGTTGCCACATCTGAGGCGGATCTTCTAATGATGCTCTTTCTCTTTTAGACAAGGTGCAAAAACGAATTGTAAACATAGTTGGACCTGCTCTGGCAGCCAATCTCCAACCTTTGTCACATCGTCGTAATGTTGCTTCTCTTTCTCTTTTCTACAAATACTATAATGGGCACTGCTCTAAAGAGCTAGCGTCCCTTGTGCCATCTACTAAAATTCATTCTCGTGTTACTCGCCATTCAATTAAGTCTCATCCTTTTTCTGTGACTGTTCCTAAGTGCTTCAAAAACTCTTATTCTTCTAGTTTTTTTCCTCGAACATCAGTTCTTTGGAATTCGCTTCCTTCATCTTGCTTTCCTGATTCATATAATTTGCAATCTTTTAAGTCATCAGTCAATCGTTATCTTGCTCTACAGATTTAGTCTTTTCTCTTCCAGTAACTTCCAACTCTTATAGTGGTTGCTTGCAGCCTTGTTGGAAGTGAAGATGTTAAAAAAAAAAAAAAATATATAAACAACTTTATTACTAATGAATGACTAGAGCTAAATAACTAGTTATTAGGTTACCTTATATAAAGAGTTAATACGCAAAATAATAAGACTATTGCAATGCACTTTTCAAAAGCCATATGGAAATAATAGATGCTTCTACCATAGATAAATCCATAACTTTAATGCATTCCCTTACACTAAGAAGGAAGCAAATGAGAAAATAAATACTTTTTTTCTTTGCTTCAAAGGTATTTATTTTCCAACAGCTAACAAATTACTTGAAGAAAGAAAAAAATTGCATTCTACAATTAGCTATATTTTGGGTGCAAAAGGTGGTTCTGTTCAATACAAAGAACTTGTAAGAATTACAATTGATTATGTTTTAAATATAATTTAAGATTCTTTTATTCTAGCCGATGGTGATTAGTATTAAGGATGGCTGTGATGGAGCAGGGTAAAAAGAATCAATGATAACAAAAGATATGATTGAAAGCAAATAAAATGTTTTATTATGGTCTTATTCCCCTGAAACTAGTCGAGAAAATTTCAAGACTTATGTAATAATGCTACACTTAACATTATTATAAGATACACTTAACATTATTACAAAAATGCTACTGACACAAATTAACTACACTCTTCCTGTAACCTTTCATCACTCAGTTGAATTAATTATTCTTAATGATGGTTATGGCAATTTATCTGAGGAAGGTCTAGAAGGAAACAATAAAGATATAAGAAACTATTTAAGGCTTTTTTCTTAATTCACATCATATTTAGAACACCTTACAGATGTGATGAGTAAATTTTTAGAGAGATCTAATCCTGGTATTTTAAACTGAATTATCCATTCACATCCTCCAAACTTTTATCGCAATACAGTATGTATTTCGATGAAACTTTTAATCCAAATTCTTGTGACTAAATTTTTGTGGCACCCATCTTGAATATTTCCACGCTAAACCTCTCTTTAAAATATGGTCCAGATAATTTGCTGAGCTGAATTAAGTGTTCCTAAATAAATTAAATTTGCTTCTGTAGCATTTCTTCCTTGTTGAAATTCGTATAAAATACAGTAACGTATATGAACTTTATCAGTAGCAATGTTTACACTTCCACTTTATAATGAAGAAAAAGGTAAAATAACTTTGTTTGAGTTAATTTGCTATGCCTGTATGAATACTTTGAATGATAAAATTAATGAGTCAAACATGCACAAAATAAAAATATGCTAACACATTGAAAATTGTTTTTATAGAAACAAACAGAACTTTCCGGTAGATCTAATATATATATATATATATATATATATATATATATATATATATATATATATATATATATATATATATATATATATATATATATATATATATATATATATATATATATATATATATATATATATATATATATATATATATATAAATATATATATATATATATATATATATATATATATATATATATATATGTATATATAGATATAGATATAGATATATATATATATATATATATATATATATATATATATATATATATATATATATATATATATATATATATATATATATATATATATATATATATATATATATATATATATATATAATAGTAAACATTGAAACATTTTTTGAAGCTAAAAAATAAATCCACATTAAAAAAATAAAAAGTTCAACTTAATTTCATTTGTATTTAAACGAGTAAAACTCTAAACTAAAAAAATATTATAAAACATTTTATAAAAATTTCTCTTCGTATCATTCATTCTAATATTGACCGATAAAGAACTATTTATCGGTTTATTTATAAAGTACTATTTATCAGTACTGCTCTTTTTACTATTTTTGATGTGGTAATTATTACGTCAACGGGTCAACCCATGAAAAATATTTTAAACGAAATGAACTTCAAACAGATTATTACTTTAAAATTTAATCACATAACAAGTTTAAAATATAGCGTTTTTATGATTGCAAAAAGAGGGAATACTCGGATTTCAAAAATTATCATCGAGATTTAAGTTGACTATGACTTTTTCATTTCTGGTCGGATACCGGATCTTTTATATCCGGCCGGATTTGGTGGTTTCCAAACACTATTGAAATAATATTACTGATAAAGATAAAGATAATAGCTTGATGTGTAAGCTTCTTTAACGAAAAACATTTATATAAATAAAATAAAAAATAACCTCTTTTACAAAATCTAATATTGTATACATAATGGATTTCTTTAAATTTAAAATCTGTTTGAATTGGCAAGTTTCTAATACACATTTTTTTTTTAATTTTTTTTTTTTTTTTACCGGTCGAATGGAATAGCACAAGAAATTTTTGTTTTCTATTTTTTTTTTTTTTTTTCTTTTTAGTTGTATTTTTGTAATTGTTTTTTCCAAGTAGCTCTTATGGTCTTATTGTAAAGCTCCGCGGAATAGCATTTAACCAGGTAATTCACCCCTACTTCTTTACCAATGTTGTATTATATCTCGTCCATATAATGTAATAATGGTAAGGAAATAAGGGTGAGAGCCAGCTTCGAACTACGGACCTTTAGTTCTAACTACTACAGAACTCTAGCCAGAACTCTAACTACTACACCACAGCTGCCAATTTAAAGGTTTTGTTTTCCCAATCTAGTGCTAAAACTCTCTTAAAAGTTTCTTATGTTTCAATTTATTGATAATAATCGACGAATATATTCGTATATCATTTGCAATTGAATTCGCAATAGAATTCTTTCGATTGCGCGTGTAAATTAAATATTTATTTTAACAGTTGCTCTCCATTATAGATAATTCTTTTTAACTTTCTGTTATGTTGATGTGGCAAAAAGTGAGGAAATATTCCTCAAACTCGCAGTAAAATAAGTTTTTTATTGAAACCTAAATTAGCATTAAATTTTTTTATAAGATTTTGGGGCTTTTATGACTAGTTTCTTTTAACCAAGGAGAGTCGACGACACCGGGGGGTTAGGGGCACTGTTATCTTGAACCCGACCAACCCCCATCCCCACACCCACCCAGACACACACATTTTTTTTTTAATTTAAAAAAATTCTAGATATAAAGAACTTATTTTAAAAATTGACGGTTGTGCTACTCCACTTTGAAACCCATGTCGTCAACCCTGACAAGTTCCTTCTGAAATAAAATAAAAACATGTATGGGTAATATTGGAATGGAATATTTGGGTAATATTGTATGGGTATATTGGAAAATTCCACAACTTGTTACGGGTTTTTGTTTTGTAACAATTGTTTAAAAATAATTTATTTTTTTAATACATAATCCTCCAAAAATCACTTTAATCACACATAAAAAGTCACACAACGTCTTTTCAAGTCTTATTTTTGTTAGACGTCTTGAAAAATTACGTATCGTGCTCCGCATATCTGGAATAAAATCTTAGCAAAATATAGTAATTTACCAGGTGTAAACAATATAAATTGCTTTCAAAAACTAATAAAAAAAGAATATTTCAAAGTACACTAATCTTATTAATGATTTCTTTTAAACTGCTTTGTTTTTTTGTTTGTTTGTTTTTTTGTTTTTATCTTTTTTTCATCGAAAAGTTTTTGGTTTTAACACTATTTACCTTAGTTAATTAAGTTTTGATTTTAACACTATTATAAGAATTTAATATTGTAAAAACATAATTACAACGGTTCTTGATGATAAGACTTAATGGTCTTCTGCAAGTTTCCTGCGTTTTTATTTATTTTTGTATAACTAACTCTTATTATTTTGTCTTTGATTTTTTATATTTATTACTGGTTTATTTTTGAAAGAATAAGAGTATCTGGTATTATATTACGGAATTTAATTGTAACAAAAACGGAAAATTAAATAAATAAATAAAAAAGACGCTTTGACAGACGTTTTTTGTTTTTGTTTCTTTTTTTGCAAATTAAAGCCGCCTTAAAAACGTCATCAAAAAGACTGTGATAGTATTTTCTTAGTTAAGGCGAGTTTCCACTCGTCCGTTTTTCAACTGGAACGGGATAGGAAAGAAAAAATAATCACGTGAGCATGCGTAATAAAAGTTTTTATTTGTCGAAAGAAAACTGCGCATGCTCACGTGATTATTTTTCCGTTCCCTTTTCCTTTCCCGTAGAAAAACGGATGAGTGGAAACATACCTTTAGACGCCTTTATCGTGCCTGGGAGCTTATTCACAACTTTTCCGTAACTCTAGCGTAGCTGAGCTAAAGTTATGAATAACTTGCGCAAACTATTTTTTGCGTAACTATTTGGTATTCACAACTTTTTCCTAGCGTTTGCTAAAAGTAAAGGTGAGTTTCCACTCATCCGTTTTTCTACGGGAAAGGGAAAGGGAACGGAAAAATAATCACGTGAGCATGCGCAGTTTTTTTTCGGAAAAATAAAAACTTTTATTACGCATGCTCACGTGATTATTTTTTCCGTTCCAGTTGAAAAACGGATGAGTGGAAACTCGCCTTTAAGGTTGCGCATGAGTTACGCAAAACTTACGCAAAAACTTACGTAAATATTCTAAAACTATTTGTATAAAATAAGTAGTTAATATTACTAATACTTTTGTTTTGATTGGTATCTACTAAAAATATTATATATATATATATATATATATATATATATATATATATATATATATATATATATATATATATATATATATATATATATATATATATATATATATATATATATATATATATATATATATATGTGTGTGTGTGTGTGTGCATGTATGTCTTATATATAATTATATACAAATATATATAACTAAGAACGTTATATATAAATTATATATAACTAAGAACGTATATTTCCCAGAAGTTGAGATGAAGAATTAAGGAGAATGAACGATTGAGAGAGAGATAATACACGTACTTAGTTTAAATTTTAAATGTTTCTTTAACTAATTTCTTGATTAATTAAATCAATATAGTATACTATTTACTGCTAAATATTTTACTAATCCTTTTTAATATTAGTAGTAGTATTTATGTTAAATGGTACAAAAAAGTAGTTTAGTTTAATGGCATTATGATAAATATGTTGATGCTAAAATTTTTTGAGAAATTATCTGCTCCAGTGTCATAAATCAAGAAAGATTCTAAAAAAAGAGCTGAAAATTGGACGCTTGAGCAGATAAGACTTTTGGTCATTCTGTATAACGAGAATAAGAGCTTGCTTGATGGAAAATTTTTTCCTTGTAAAATAGATTTATTTTAGATATATAATTTTCTAATAAAGATAAAATAATTTAATGTAAATAGAAAATTTCAATTATTTTTAGCAATCTCAAAACTTACAAAAGACGATGCATGGAGTAAAATTGCGGACCAGGTTTCTCTTGTCGGTTCAGACCGCACAGTGCTACAATGTAAAAAGAAGCTATCTGATCAAAAATCTGACAGCAAGAGAAAAGCAGCACGGATTATTTCTAGTCTAAACAAGACTGACGGGGGTGAGGGGTGCTTGGAAGAGCTTAACTCCATTGATCAACAAATGGTGTCCAAGATGCCAAAAGCCAAAAATTTACAGGGAATCACTGGAGGTATTGATTCTCTTTAAAGTCCTACCGCATCGAATAACGACTTTATTTTTCAACAGATATCAGGGAGTTTTTCACCACAGCCAAAGGAACAAACGTTTGATCAGTATGCAAACTATTTTTTGTGCAATGTGGTATTTTAATAAATTTTCTTGCTTATTTTTATTATTTGATAAATATCTCTCTCTCTCTCTCTCTCTCTCTCTCTCTCTCTCTCTATATATATATATATATATATATATATATATATCTGTATATATATATATATATATATATATATATATATATATATATATATATATATATATATATATATATATATATATATATATATATATATATATATATATATAAATAATAAAATATATACATAAATATTTAATTGTTGATAGGCATAGTATTCTGTTAAAAATACAGCTCTTGTCTGCTTAAGAGTGATCAATACTTCTTTGTAAAATAGATCAAATTATATTTATATAATTTAAATGAAAAAATTACAAATTTTTATGGAACTATTAGTTTCATGCCATTCGGCAATTATTCAGCCATATTATTTAAAATTTACAAAATAAAAAACCGTTAAAAAATACAATTTTTTAGCGTTAAATGATTTTAAATGGTTAAATGATTTTAAATGATGATGATGATGTAGATTATATAGATCTAGATTGTAGATCATTATTATTTATAGAGAATAGTTTCATCTGATTTGCAAGAATCCTACAATTCGCCTAGTACATTACCCTCGATAGACTCTCTAACATTTTCAGTGACACCATTGTTGCACATAAATATCATTATTAAAGTTTAAAAAAAGATTTTCATTTTACCCACTAAATTTCTTAAATAAAGAAAGCATTTTTTTTTAAATAACAGTTTTATCTAATAACACAACGTTATAAAACATGGGCATGTCTATTGGCAAACATATAGTTTTTCAAATCATTTCTTCTAGTTAAACCAAGTTGAATTTGGTTGATTTGTCTTCGACCAACGTGATAAAAAGTACTATTATTTTCAGTGCTGTTATTATCTGTTATCATCTCAGTGTTACCAACTGCATCGTCGCTAGCTACTACATTATCTGGCTCTTCTAAACCCAATGAATTGCACATATTCTCAAGTAATACACAAGTATAAATGATCAAACAGCACTTGGTAGGAGAATATTGAAGAGTTCCGCCACTTTTATGTAGACATCTCCGCCTGTTTTTGAGACTGCCAATACAACGTTCTATTCTACTTCGAACCCTTGAGTGGGTTTTGTTGAAAAACATTTTTTCACCGGTTATTGCAGGACTAAATGGTGTAATCATGACTGGCGATAACCCGTATCCTGAATCACCAAAAAGAAAACCGGCAACTGGATCAGCTTCCATCGTTTGTTTTAAAGTAGAATTTGAATAAACAAAAGCATCATGACATGATCCTGGATATTTAACTACTACATCTCTGAACTGTCCATATAATCGACAACAAATTGGCAATTTATAGCTGAATAGCCTTTTCTAAAAAATGAAGCAAAACATATTAATAAGCAAAATGAACAACTTTTTATAAGTTAAAATGTATAATTACACTATAACTATAATTAGGAACTATAATTGGAACTCTTCAATATGATCATTTAAAAAAAAAAAATGAGTAGCCTCCTTGACTGTAGTGGCCCCCTCGGGCCTTGAGGAGGTGAATAATTTGAAAAAAAAAAGAAATTTAGATCCTACAGTAATAAATACTGAATAAAAAAAATTAAAAATGTCAATCATATTATTTAATAGTATTTGTATACTACTCAAGCCTATTTAAAGACTACTTTGGCTCATTTAAAAACTACTTTTTACCTGCAAATAAAAGCTGGCTCATCAGCCCCAGTGACTCCTTTGATGGGCACCACTGTACCATCAATTAAACCCAAAAGACCCTTTACTCCAAAAGCCTCAAAATAACTTTGTTTCACTTTAGTTATTTCTTCTTGACTACTGTACCATTTGACAAGGTAGCTGTAGAGTTGCATAAAGGACTCACAAAACTGATGGATTATTCGACTAGTGCTAGCCTAGCTAATCTCAGAAGTGTCGCCTAAAATTAAACAACAATAAACTTTCATAGCTTCATTCAGATGTAGTTTATGATTGAATTATGAAAATTCTTGGATAAAAACTTTGATTTTGTACAAGATGTGTGACCTTAACTTTAAAACTTACAAAATAATACATAGTTTTGTGAAATTGCAGTTGTTCTAAAAAAATTAATATGTTTTGTTAATTTAAAAAATCATGTTGGCTTTTTGTCTCTTAAAAAACGTACATTTATAATCTAAACACTGGATTAATATCAATTAAGTGAAACATTAGCTAACATGTTTACTTTTTTAAAGTATTTTTAAATACATTTCAATAACATATATAAATATATACACATAATAAAATTCTTACCTATTGGATTTTGAAAGCTTCCTGTTGCTAGAAACCTTAAAGATACAAGTACTTTAGTTTCTTGTAAAATGGAATTGTTTTGGCCAGTTGTTGAAGACAGATCATGATGTAGAGTGTTAACAATCTCAGATATTTTACGCGAAAGTAAATGAAATTTCTGTCAACATTCAAGATCTGAAAAATTATTAAGTACAGCACAATGAGTCTTTCGCCAATTTTGATTTTGGAGTTCAATTTCTTGAATCATTTCAAGCTAATTTAATATGCTATTCTATATAAAATAATATGATATTATTCTGTATATTTTACTAAATTAGTAATCTTAAATTAATAATGTATTTATTGCACCTAATAATAATATTATTAATATGCGCAATAAACACGTTTTCGATATAACACTTTATTGATAAACACGTTGTTGATATAACTAATATATGTACATATATTAAATTTAATATACACATATTTTATTACAATAAAATGTGTGTGTAACAATGTGTAAGTAACAATGATGTTACTCACACATACGCATATGTTAAATATGTGTGTATGTATAAGTAACATATAGTAACAAAATATATGTGTATATTAAATTTAATATATGAACATATATTAGTAATATATATTATTACTAAAAGACTTTGATGAATAATGTACATTATTATTTTATGTAAGGTAAAGCGGGGTATTAAACCCTATAGGGCATTAAACCCCATTTACTCTGTTTATATAATAAAATGCCTAAATAATATTGCATCTATATTAGCACAAATATTATCTCTCTCTTTCTGAGGGAGAGGTAATATTTAGAGAATATTTAGATGTACTAGAGAGATTATAGTAAAATAGTAATAGAGAGTAATATAGTAATAGAGAGAGACAAGAGTATAAAGTATATACTTCAATAATATTATTGTATATAGTTTTGTATATAGTATTTGTATAGTATTGTATATAATATAGTTGAATTATAATACAACCATAAGTTAATATAGTATGGATATATCATATAGTTTTGTAGTATGACAACAAATAGCTATTAAGGTAACTTAACTTATTTACTAAGTTATTGTCTTACTACAAATCTATATGATATATTTATACTAATATGGATATATCATATAGAATCATTAAGTTATCTTAATAACTCTCATATATATCATTAAGTTATCTCAATAACTATTTATTATCATACTACAAAACTATAGGATATATCCATACTATAATACCTTATGGTTGTATTATAACACAGCTATATTATATACAAACTAAAACATATATACTAAATTATATAAATACTTTAATTGTATACATATAGAACATAATAAAACTATATTTTATAGAAACTAAAACAGGGAGAGCGACTATAGTATTACTATGGTTATTCTCCCTTTTTAGCCAGGTTTATAGATATCTATATAATATCTATATTATCATTCTCATACTTATATTATCATTCTCATATCTATATAATATCTATATTATCATTCTATATCTATATAGTCATATTATCATTCTATATAAATTATATCATTCTATATAGTCATATTATCATTCTATATATAATTATAGAGCGAACCATCCATTATATTATAATGGATGGTTCGCTCTAGAGTGAACCATCTAATACCATTTAAGAGAGATCTCTAGAGAGCTCTCCACATATATAATACCAAATAAGAGAGCTAGCTCTCTTATATGGCATTAGATGGTTCAATTTAAAGTGAACCATCCATTATATAAAATGTATATATTTTTTTTTTTTTACCTTAAAACAAGCTTATGTAGTACTTCTAAATTTTTGGTAAATATAATAATATATTTTCCATATATTAACATACGTTAAGTTATTTCTTAAATAATATAATTATAACTTTTTTTTTATACAACAACAATGTCAATATATTATATTTCTATTCTGTTCAACAAAACAACAATTTGTTGATATTGTTAAAAAAAAGGTTATAGCTGTATTTTTTAAGTAAATAACTTACGTATAGCAGTATAATATAAGTATATATAAGTATATAATTTATTGGCAATATAAGTATATAACTTAATGGCAGTAACAAACAAAATCTGAAATCTTTTACAATAATTTAACGCCATTTATAATATAACGCCATTTTTAATATAACGCCATTTTTTAATATTAGATGAATTTAAGTTACGCAAAAACGTAAGTCAGACAATATCAGACGTAACTTTTCTTGCTGAGCTTTTTTTGTGAATACCGTTTTTTTGATTTTGCGTAACTAAAAACTTACGCAAAAATTTAAGTTTTTGCTTTGTGAATATGACTTTGCGTAACTTTGAACTTACGCTAAAACTTACGCAAATTTTTGACTTACGAAAGAGTTTTGAATAAGCTCCCTGTTTCGCGACTTGATAAAATTAATTTTTAAGGAAAGTTTTTCATAGTTTTTTGTAGATCTTTTAAAATCATTATCTTAATTTAAAGACTATTTCTCTAAAAAAAGAAAATAAAGACCATACTTTCATTTATTTCTTTCCTTCATTCACTAAAACTAATAATATTATTAGATCTAATTTAAGTTGTTGGAACTTTAAGATTTTTAGGCTGAACTTGAAAATTTGTAAATCCCCAAATAATACTTTCCAAGAATACATAGTAAAAAAATATATTTTCTGGAAGTAGTTTTGAATGCTGTAATCACTACTGTTGATTACAGCATTCAATGATTGACACTTAAAAAAGACTTTGTTAAAGTTTCCAAAACAGAGCGGGTCCTTATTTTATATTATATATTTATAACAAAAAAATTTAGTGAAGCCTGTTCGTTTAATTATTAAACTATAAATATATTATATAAAATGGTTTCGTACCTTTTAAGACGTCTACCTGAAGTACGTTTTAAGACATCTATATATTAATATTTTTAATACAAATAATCAATTTTACAACATGCTTTCCATACAATCCGAATCATTTACCTTCTCTACTCGACTTGTGTCTTGTTTCTAATCCTAGTCAGTACTCAGTTTCTCCATATTCACCTTTAGGTGCTTCTGATCACGGTTTGATCTTTCCAAAACTATTATCTCATTTTTCTTCATCATCAGAATCCCCCTATCATCGTACCTCTTACAACTACCTTAAAGCTGACTCGGACTCTTTTCGTGATTTTTTTTGTGATGGCCTTTGGGTAGAAATCTTTCGTCTTCCTGCAGACAAATGTTTTTTTTTACATAACTTCTTGGATTCAGGCTGGCATGAAATCTTTTATTTCTTCTCGACGACTCTAAGTCAAGCCTCACTTTTTTCCATGATTTTCCTCACATTGTGCTGTTGCAATTTCCAATCGAAACCGTTACTTCTACAACTATTAGCAAAACAATTCTCTAGAAAACGTCTGTTTACTATTGCTAGAAACCATTGTAAAAAAGTTTTGTTTAGCGTCAAAGCCCGCTATTGTCAGGTCACAAAATCTTCTATTTCATCTTAAAAATTAGGCTCTCGTGACTTCTGGAGAATCAACAGTGTTTATAATATCGGCAAATTTATTATTCCATCTCTTTTGCATGGTTCAGATTTTGTTACCAAAAGACAAAGCTGAATTGTTTGCTGAGAACTTCTTATCAATCTCATCTCTTGACGCTACTAATCACATCCTACCTGATATAGCCGACAAACAGGTTGATTAATTGCTTAGCATTCGTATCACTCCAAAAGTGATTTACTGCTTAGATTCTTTTACAGCTTGTGGTCCCCACAACATAGCTGCTATAGTCTTACAGAAGTGTTCTCCAGAACTGTTATCTATACTTTTAAAACTAATCAACAAGTGCTTATGAGAGTCATGTTTTCCAGCCTGCTGGAAAGCGGCATCTGTTATCCCCATTTTTAAAAACTCTGGAGAGTGATCTGAATTATTATATTACCGTCATTAGTCTTCTTCCAATCATAAGCAAAGTTTGAGTCTTTAGTTAACGCTTAATCTCTCATCTTGAATCTGATAACTTACTTTCTGATCATCAATATGGATTTCAGCCTTCTCGTTCTATTGCTGATTTGTTAACGGTAATAACCGATTGGTTTTATCGTGCATTAGATAAATGTGGAGAGGTTAAGGTTATCGCTTTCGACATTTCTAAAGCTTTTGATAAAACTTGGCAAGCTAGTCTTCTCCATAAGCTTTCTTCTTACGGTGTATCAGATAACATCTTTAGATCAATGAATCCTTCTTTACCAATTGTAGTATAAAAGTTGTCCTCAATATGCAGTACTCTTCATCATATCCTGTAACTTCAGAGAGTGCTCAAGGTTCTATCCATGGCCCTATACATTTTTCAATTTACATTAACAATTTTTCAGAAATTCTCACATCCAAGGTGGCATTGTTTGCTAATGATACTATTTATTCTTGTCTTGTATAAAATTATACTATCATTTATTGATACTATCATTTATTGATAAGAAGCCAACATTCTCTGATTACTCGGAGAGGAAGTTTGAGCTTAAAAAGGATCTCTCTTCTGCTACAGTGTCTCGTAAACTTTAACTCAGAGAAAGCTCAATTTTTTTTACTGATTGTTGTCGCGACAATCTAGATCTTTTTATATTTATGAACAGTAATGTACTTGATGAGTAATCTACTTGTCTTTTAGTATTGACTCAAAATTAGCAGCTGCTAAGGTTGCATCTCTTTAAAGTGCTTGCCACTTTCTTACACAGAACTCTATTCTTTATCTCTATAAATCTCAAATCCGTCCTCATATGAAATACTGTTGCCATATTTGGAGCGGATGATCGAGTGGTGCTCTTTCTCTTTGAGACAAGGTTCAAAAGCGCATGATAAACATAGTTGGAACTGGTCTTGCAGTAAACATTTAACCATTGTCACATCGTCGTTATGTTGCTTCTCTTTCTCTTTTCTATAAATACTATAATGTGCGCTGCTCTAAAATTCACTCTTGTGTTAATCTTCATTTGATTAAGTTTCATCCTTTTATTGTGACTGTTTTTAGGTGCTCCAAAAAAATTAATATTTGTCTAGTTTTTTTGAAACATCAGTTCTTTGAAATTGCTCCCATCTTCTTGTTTTCTTGATTCATTTAATTTGCAACATTTTAAGTTGTTTGTTAATCATTATCTTGCTTTATATTTTCTCTTCCAGTAAGTTTCAACTCTAATAGATGTTGTTTACAGCCTTGTTGAGAATGAAGATGTAAAAAAAAAAAAAAGTTTGTTTACTTTGTTACATGCATTATTATATTACTTCTTTATGTCAGAGATACCTAAGCTTTTAACGTATTTTCGTAATCACGTTAATAAAATAAGTATCTTTTTCATAGATGACATAAGTAGAAATATGTTATCTGATTAAAAAGTAGTCGTTAAAAACGTAATTACCTTAGTGATTAGTTAAGTATGCATATTTTACATAGTGTTGTTATTGACTACAGGTCAATAACTACACCATGTCCAAATCAAGTCGAATACAAATTATTTTGTGTTTTTAAATCTAAAAGCTACTTAAATATTATTGCACTGTTATTCAATTATTTTATTATGTTATGAAAGACCAACCAGACCCGTATTTTACGGATCAAAACAACTAGTTTAAATTGGTGAGCGTAAGATACTATGACTCAAAATGAGGTTTTGATTTTTCAAAAAATGAAGACCAGATATATTACTGAATTGGGGAGAAATGTAGGAGAGTGCTTCTACATTGACTAATCTAGGGATAACATGCGAGGGAATGCTGCTACATCGACTGAGGGTTTGGGTTAAGACAGGTATAGATCAATCGATGTAGCAGCACTCTCTTACATTTCTCCTCAAATCAGTAATATATCTGGTCTTCGTTTTTAAAAAAAATCAAAACCTCATTTTGAGTCATAGTATCTTTCGCTTACCGTTTAAATTAATTAAATTCATTAACAATTTAACCTTTTTTTTTAAACTTAGGTCTAGACTGTCTAGATAATTCATAGCCTTATTAGTTTTTGATCTTAGTTTGCAAGAGATATAGCAAATTATTGCATTGAAGACCGTACTTTGGCATTGCTAAACATACCTACTAACTCCTTGCTACCTATGTTGTGAAGGTGTCCTTTCTTTCTCTTATTTAAATGTTTCTGTAATAATAAGAATAATAACTGTTATATTGTTTATTTAAAATATCTTCCACTGCAATAAGACAAGCAATTTTAAGAAGCTCTTCATCAATGGAGCATAAATTTGTTGCTGATTCTGAAATGCCTGGTTTAAGCAATTTTTCATAAAAATCAATCGGTCTGCAAAATATTCATCAAAAGTTACTTGCTTTGATGTTGCATAAAGTATTTTTAGCAAGGTTCCAGGAAGAGGTTTTCTAAAAACTGCTAGCAAAAACATTTGTTTGAAAATGCTGCTTGAAGATTTGTTTGCAAAATTTTACACTTTACTATTCCATTTGTAAGAAATCATTTAAAGTCACAGTTTATTTAATTAATATCTTGCAAGTTTATAAAAACACGTATTTATACTTATATAATATACTTTAAATAAAACACGTATGCAAAAGAATGTAAAGGCAGTTTTCACGATACCTTTTATGTCTTTATATCTAATTTAATTTATGAAAACAATCAAGGTTGTCAAGGTTGTCAATCATTTCCAAATAATTTGCATCGCTCATTCTCTAAAAACTTGAAAAGGATGATGTGGCAATTGTATAAAGAGGGTTTAAACGACAGTTTATTTGAAAAAAATGTGCATAAATTTTTTTTTGCTAATGTTAAGATAATTAACAGCAACTCTGTTAGAAATTGTGTTTAAATTTTTTTTAGTACTTGAATTACTAGATTCGTTATAGCTGCACAAGTAAAAACCAGAATAAATAAAAGCCATATAATCAATGGCATTGTATATATGGTTTTCAAAATCATCAGCTGTTTATCATGGTTGACACTCCAGATTATTGGCTAAGCATCTATCTTTAAACGTCAAGTGAATACTGTTAATAAGAACACCTGGTATTGTAGCATCAAACTCAAGAGTAAGTTGGTAAGTTGTTAAGCAGCTAAAATAGTACAATAAATGTTTTTTATTATATATATAAATATATGTACATAAGTATTTAAATGGTAATCAAACTTTCCCAATTTTGTAAAATTTTCCTCTTGTAAAGATTCTGTATTAATAGTAATATTAAAGGTTCTTTTCCGTTTAATAGATTTTATAGCCTTAGCATTAAGAGTCTTAAATTACTCCAATGAACAACTTCAAGCAGCAATTAAAGAGCAATAAGACAGTTGTTATTAATGAAATTAATATAAAAACAATACAAATTAAAAAACAACAAGATGATCATAGGCTCTAACATTTCTTAAATTTAGTATTAAAAACTTAGTATTTTTAAATTTAGTATTAAGTTTAGTTAAAGTAAGGAAACCTTAAAAATATTTACTAACTTTATTGTTAAATAATAAAAATATTTTAATTTCAAATTAGATATAAATGAAAAAATATGTAAAGTCTTCATTTTTCAAGTTATTTATTTTATCTAAAGTTAGTTTTATTTAAATCAAGTATAAAATAATCAATTATTTAAAACAAGTATAAAATAATCAATTATCAATCAAGTACAAAATAATCAATTAACCCTCTGCCTGCCAAAACGATATCGGCTTAAACAAAATTTTGATACCAAATGTGCCTAAGAACCTAAAAATAAGTGTATGGGTCTTAAAAATATTATATATGCACACACACACACACACACACACACACACACATACACACACACATATATATATATATATATATATATATATATATATATATATATATATATATACATTTATATATATATATATATACACTGTAAAACTTTACCGTGAAATTCACAGTACTTTACCGACATTTTCACGCTATGTTACCCCAATAGTGTCTTCACGGCATTATACTGTAAAGTTTACGACATTACACCGTTATTGCACCATCACGGTATCACCGTAAAGTTCTACTATTCGATAAATGTGGACACTTATCGTAAAGTATAAGCATGTTTATTATTTTATTAAAATTGAAATTTGTTATCTTTAATTTTCTATACATACTTTTTACATATTTTAATATGTCAGCATGTGAATCACATGACAAAATAGCTCTGTAATTAAATTATAATTGCATTTCAATATTATTACTCTAGTTATCTATAGACTAATTTTTAATTCGCTAATATTTAATATTTTGTGTTTTATAACTAAGTTATTAACTTATTTAATAATAAACTTATTTAATAAGTTATTAGTATAAGTAAAAGCATTCCAATTTTGATATAAGAGCTTTTGTGCAATTAACTATTTTAACTTGTGTTGGTGCACAAGGTAATATTGAATACATAATATTGGTAATATTTAATTGTATTAAATTTCTGTAAAGTTGTATTAATCATAAAATGTCATTACCTTCTGTTTTTACTGGACCAATATGGACAGAATTATCAAAAAATACTTGTATTTCTGCAGCTCTACATCAAGGTGATGTTAGTTTTTCAGATTTTTCACGAGGAAAACAATGTTTAACAAATTCAGTTATATTTCTGTGTTATACAATGAATAAAATAAAAACGAATTATGGTATACAAAGTATTGATCTAAATAATATTTTGAAGCAAGGAGACAGTCTTTACCTAAATGTTCGAGATAATGGTATAAATACAGATTATTTATTGCCAAGTGATTTGCCAACTCATGTAATTTGTTCTGGGAAAAAAAATATGCTCAAGATTACTGACATAGGAATTGGTAATTTATTGCAATTAGAAAATGATGTCAATTTATTCAGTACCAAATCAATTGAACATGCTTTTGATGATGCATTTAAGCTGTCTCCAACATGTCTTTTATGTATAAAAGATAGTTTTGTTGCAATATTCAAATTTGATAATTTTCTTCTTCTTTTTGATTCACATAGTAGAGACTGTCATGGTTTTTTGACCAGTGAAGGAACTGCTGTGGTCATAAAATTTGTGTTTGTTTCAGATTTGTACATTTTTTTAAAACAGTACAGTAGATATTTAACAGATTCTAATGAAGTTCGATTTGAATTAACATCTTAAAACATTGAAGTTATTGACATTGATAGTATAAATGGATTTAGTAAAAAAAATAGTTTATCTGTTTATTCTAAAGTCAATTATGCACAATTAACTCCACGTGAAAGTTGTTATAAAAATTTAAAGTTAAAGTGTCATATATGTGGTCTACAAGCAAAATCTTTATTAGCTTATGTTACTCATTATTCATGCCACCGTCATGATGCAAACATATATTTTCCTTGTGTCAACAATTGCAACAGAAATTTTAAAAGCTACTCTTCTTTCAAAATACATGTAAAAACTGCTCATAATAATCAAACAGTTAGTACACTTGCTTGGTCAAAATTTCAAGACAGTGAAATATTGTTTACATGTGGCATTACGTTATGCAAACAAGTATGTAAAGGATTAATTCAATTTCTTATTCACCTAAAAACTCATAGTGACTCACATGATAAAATTGTATGTCCATTTGTAAAATGCAATACAGTTCTTAATAATCGAAGTTCATTAGCATCTCACTGGACAAGAAAGCATAAAAATTGGGATGCACGACATATAAAATCAATATATTTAACATTCATTCCAGATATCCCAGATAGTGTTAATAATGACAACCATGCAGCAATTTTAGAAAATTACAGTCCACCTGAGTTGTGCCCTAGAGAAAGTTTATATAAAGGTAAAAGCATTACATTGGAAGACTATGTGCAATGTCAAGCAATGTTTTTTTTAAAATTACAAGTGAAACACATTCTACCAGTATCATGCATTCAAAGCATTGCAGATGAGCTTGAAGTTGCTAATAACTACAGTACTGAGTATTTGTTGCATACTCTATCATCTGCAACGTCAAGTCTTCCTATGTTAGAGATGATGTTCTTAAAGAATTAATCAATATTGAACATAAAAAAAAAAGTTCTTTGCATGTTTTGCGCAGTGTAAAAAGCAGGAAAACCTTTTACCATAAAAATATGGCTTACATAAAGCCTGTTGAATTTGCATTAGGCTATGATAATAATAAAAAATTTAGAACAGCCCAATATGTTTCAATAAAAGATTTGATATGTATGCTGTACTCAAGACACAGCAACAATACTGGATTCTGGCTGAAACACAGTAGTACTTCAGGTGTATTTACAGATAATATACCTCATGTTGTTCCAAGATTCCTTTGAAGTTACAAATCCTATTGGTTCAGGAAAGAAAAAACATAAAACACTAGCTGTTTATCTGACATTAGCAAATATTCCGTCCCAAAAACGATACACATCCGATCAACTACAATTAGTGCTTATGTGTCGAGATGTTGATTTTAAGTTTTTTGGCTTAAAGAAGGTGTTTGCTCCTTTATTGTCTGATTTACAGGAAATTTCAATGTCTGGTGTTGCTATTTCTGACACCTTGACATTAACAATAAAGCTTCTATGTATACTGGGTGATAATCTTGGATCACATGCTATTGGAGGTTTTTGTGAAAATTTCAGCACAGCTCAATACTTTTGTCGATGCTGCTTAGTGACACGTATCGAATTTGATACAAATCCTCACTTTTGTGGCCCTGAAAGAACAAAAGAAATACATAATAGAAGCTTGCTTGAACTAGCAAACTGTGGTTTAAACAACTTTGAAGGCGTCAAATTTCAGTCACCTTTTAATGATATTAGTGATTTTCATGTCTCCACTGGTTTGCCACCATGTCTAGCTCATGACTGTTTTGAAGGATTAGTATCACAAGATATGTATCTTTTTATTAAGTATTTTGTTACTAAGCGATGGTTTTCTTATAACAACCTAAATAGAAGAATAAATCTACTTAAGTATTTAGAAAATGATGCACAAGACAAACCATGTGAAGTTAACAAAATATTGTGCACAAAGAAGCTAAGTGGCCATGCAGTACAAAACTGGGTGTTTTTGCGTTTGTTTTCCATAATTATTGGATCATATGTAACTAATTATGAGGACTCTGTGTGGTTACTGTATCTTAAATTAAAACAAATTATGGAGTTGGTTTGTTCACCAAAGATTGATCTTGCACATATTGCATACCTAAAGACACTAATACACGAGTATTTGTCTGGACGAAAGGAACTGTTTCCTGATAATAAACTTTTACCTAAACATCACTATTTGTGTCATTACCCACAGCTTATACTACGATATGGCCCTCTCATACGTGTGTTTACACTGCGATTTGAGAGCAAGCATTCTTATTTTAAACGATGTGCTCGAAATTACCATAATTATAAACACTTATGCAAAACATTGACTAGCACCCATCAATTGCTGCAAGCATACAACAATTCAAGCATTACAACCCAGGACTATTTTTCTATTGATTCCTTCTTGTATAATGGAACAAATTTCAATTCTTTAATAAACAGTTTAATATTAAATACATGTGGTCAGTTTCCGCATGATGTTTCAACGCATGTTGTTTTTCGTGGCACACATTACAAGAAAAATCTCTTTTTATTGTGTGAGTTTTCAAAAGATTATGAGTTTCCAATTTTTGGAAAAATAATAGTTACTTTTATAGATCCAAGCTGTAGCATTCCTCGGGTTATTGTCGCAATTCAAAAGACTGAGTTTGTCCATGAACTTGGTTTATATGAAATATTTGGTTCTACAGATAAAATTATATGTCTTGCACTGCCATGCTTAATTGACTATCTGTCGTTACCAGCTTACATATACCAGCATCGAAAAATGGTTTCACTTAAACATGCAGTGTCATGTTCAGTGTCAAGATTTGAGAACAGATAAATAATAATTTAATAAATATCAGTTCAAATCATTTTTTTTTTTTTAATGTTTTATTTTTATAAAATATTTTGTTTAAAATTTCAACTATTAATTTTTTTAAATGTTTCTAGTTTTAAATTTTTAAATAGTCATGATAACAATAATGTTAAAAAATCTCTTCTGTTTTTTAAACTGACTGATTACCCTAATTTATAAATTAACCCTGATAATTTATTAATTAACCTAATTAACCCCTGATACATTTGCGCTATTCTCTTATATAGGATTAAATCATTACAGAGTTAACAGTGTTTTTTGTTTGTGTAGGTGATGGAATTTATTAAAACCAGCATCATTAGAATCCTGCCATCTATAGATGCAACTTTATTAGAGCAACTTGCAACTAGTTTGGAGCTAGATGTTGGAGTGGAGACTCAAGCAGATCTTCATTTAGTTACATTTGAAGACTTGTTTGGCCTAAAACCAATACAAAAACGAAAACTACTTCAATCATGGTTATCAAATAATGTGGGTAGGTGATCAAAACTTTTTAGTTTTAGTTTGTGTTAGAAAAAATATAAATATACAGTTTTGTTTGTAATATAAACTTTTTTTACTTTGGATGGTTGTGTAGCAGTATGATATAACATAGTATATAACATAATATATTATATAATATATTACTTTAAATGGTTGTATAGCAGTATGATATTACTTAGTATATAACATAATATATATTGTTATATATTATGCAATATCATACTGCTACCCAACCATCCAAAGTAAAAATGTTACTATCATAGGATGTATATCATGCATGCTTGTGTTATAGCATTGATTAATTTGTTTCATCATTGTCATTGTAATTCATAAGTTGTTTTTTTCTTAATGGAAGTATATATTTTATAATGTATGAAAAATAAATTATTTTGTTCAATGATCTTATGATTTTAAAAATAATTTTTTTATTTAAGTACATCATTTCATTAATGAAAAATTTATGCCAAGCTTAATTTTTTGTTTCTTAGTTGATTATAGTTAACATTATTAGTGATTATTGTGACCATTTCATTACAGCTGATTCCAACATGTTGACACCAGCATTGATGACTTTGTCGTCACCATGTATACCCTGCTCTTCTACTGAAATTTTAGCAGCAGAAGGATCTTCTGGTAAGTAACTTACATATTTATAATCACTTTTTTTTTGTTATATGTAAATTTTATAATAACTATTTTATTTAATCTTATTTGAATGGTTTGTTCCCGATTACATGTTAAGTTGTATTTTATTTTGATTAAATTGAATTTGAATTTAGCGGCATCAAATTATTTTGGACCTTCTGATTGGTGTTGTTTAATGTACCATGGGGAAAAATAGATAAGAAAACGATTGAAAAACTAGAATCCGGTGAACGTCTTAGTGCAACAGAAAGAACGGCAATGGTGCGGATAGTATTGGACGAAGTTAGATCAGTTTGTCTAAAGCCGTTGAAAAAACACTTGGATATTATTGCATCCATAATTGTTTTAAAATATCTAAAAGCATTGAAGGATGAATACAATGGTAATTTGATAGGTAGTGGTCATGATAGTCTGACATTACAATTAGTCAATCGTTATGATTATCTTCAGCGCCCACGTGGTGCTTTGCCAGAAGTGGATTTTGAAGTAGAAAAGGTATCTGCTCAAGACGATGAAAAAAAACATCCTTTTATGAATAGAAAGAGAGATAGTTATGGATGTCTCAATTGGGAATGTACAGGATTGCTTAGCTCACAGTCTACTCCAGCTGAAAAACTGTACAGGTTGCAGCGAAGTGCTATAAATGGGAACTTAATTCTGCTCCCAGAATTGATGCAACAGTTTCCAGAGCTGTTTACGGTAATACTTGATTTTATTTTATTTATCTTAATTCCATATTCTAACATCAAAATAGTTACTTAATTGTTTTGTTACATCTAATAATTTCATTTCATTTTGACAGATTTTTCAATTGTATAACTTCTTATATAATTGAATAAGTATACATGTATAATTGAATAATTATGTAGATTTTAGTAAGTTTAGTTTTTAATACCTGTATATAATTGAGTATATATAATTGAATAATTATGTAGTTTTTAATAATTATGTAGTTTTTAATACATGTATAATTGAATAGTTATGCAATAATAATGTGTAGGTGAGCGGATTACTGAATCACTTTGATGTGTTGATGGGTGGCTTAAAAGCCACTGAAAAATTAACAACTTCATTAGCTGACCAAAAATTAGCAGCATTTTTGTTAAACTGTAAATCTACAAATGAACACATAAAAAAAGCTATGCAATCAATGGATGAGCTAAAAGTTGCAACTGCTTCTGATCTACCTGTGGCTCCTAGCTTGATGACTGCATTGGTCTTTCTTTTTGATGAAAAGTTGCATTGTCTTTTTTTGTTGATGGATGTATGTATAAACAGTGTTTCAATTTTTTCGTAGCTATATTGATAATACAGGTAGTGCATTCTATGAGGTATGGATGTGTCTCATAAATTAGTTGCATAAAATTAATCTAGTAGTTGTGATATTACATGATATTTATGTAGTTTCACACACACAATTTAAACTGTGTGTTTATGTAATACTATATTTGATTTTGTATGCAACTAAGTAAAAGCAATTCTAATAGTTTTTTAGTTTCAAATATATATATATATATATATATATATATATATATATATATATATATATATATATATATATATATATATATATATATATATATATATATATATATATATATATATATATATATATATATATATATATATATACGATTAATGCTTTACTTTAAATTTTCAATAGGAAACAACTGACATGTCTGAAGTTCCACGTGGTCAACTTCTTACTCCTCATTTGTGTGTTTTAGGTATGTATCAGTTATAAATTTATTTATTTAAAAGTATGTATACCATATATAAAATAGTTAATATTGTTATTTGTACATATAATTTTTAAATTAAATTTATTTTTAAACTATAGTTTAAAAATATTTATTTCTCAGCTTAGACTAAATGAGCTATATATATAGTTTTTTATACAATACTTCAATCAATTTGTGTTAATTTTTATTATGATATTTTATTTAGTTGCAAACATAGTTTAAAAGTTTACTGAAAGATACTGAAAAATTTATTTCTTAAATTAAAGTTCTTTCGTTTTGTGCATCTATTCTATTTAGGAGATGCATTGCTGACAGCAAAAAAGTTCGTTCTACTTGTTGACGGTATTCCAATAGTAGAGAACATTACAAATTTTACGAAAGCATTTTGTTGTTTGTTTGCTTGTTATTATGTATTCAACATTCCTTATCCAAATGAAGTATCAAAAACTTTAGAATTTTGCCAGCGGTAAATTATTATCTTTTTATATAATTATATATTTTTCTTATTTGTTTATAATTATATTGTTTATTTTAATTAATATTTATAACTTAAATATATGTTTTATTTAAGATAAATTTTTGTTCTTTCATTATTGTGTCTAAAATTGAGATAAAACTTGCTAAGAAAGTTTAATTTCAATTAAAAATTAGTTATGAATAAATATAAAAAATATTAACTTGAAATTGAAATCATTTCTGTTTCATTGCTTTTAGTGTTTTTTTTGGAATCAATCCTGAAAAGGGATCGAAGTCGCGATGCACAAAGAAGGCGATGACTGTCAATAGAACTGTGTTAAAAATGATGCAGAAATTAGCTAGCTTCATTTAAATATATATATATATATATATATATATATATAATGGCTGTTTTGGTAATGTAGTTCAATACATTATATATTACAATATAATATATTAGAGTGTGTAAATGCATATATCGTGTTTTTATTTGATTTTTTATTTTATGTTTGATAGATTGTGTATACACATGAATATATTTTGACTAATCTAGACACACTGTCAGATAAATTTGTCATTATTGTTTTGATCTTACTCGTTTAATACGATGTTATTGCTGCTTTATATAATAAACAGGGTTTTTTAAAAATTTCCGTGCGCCGACTAAAAGGAGTAAAAGGCCGTTATTATACCGTTACCCATAAACGCCAGTACTTTACCGTGATTTTACGGTACAAAAACGGAAAAGTTTCACGGTAGAAAAACGGGAATTCAAATATAAATTCACGGTATTCTACCGTAAATATTTTACGTTTCTGTACCGTGAAATCACGGTATAGTACTGGCGTTTATGGGTAACGGTATAATACCGTGATATTCACGGTAAAGTTTTACAGTGTATATATATATACATATATATATATATATATATATATATATATATATATATATATATATATATATATATATATATATATATATATATATATATATGTATATATATATATATATATATATATATATATATATATATATATATATATATATATATATATATATATATATATATATATTATATATATATCAGGGGCGGATCTAGGGTTATCCTGTGTTGCCCAGGATTCACCCATAATATTCTAAAAAATCATCAAAAATTCCGTTTCATAATATAAAAAATACTAAATTTAAATTTATAGTATACTAATATGTATATATGTATTCTTTAAAAAAATAAATATTGCCTTTATAGAAAAACATACGACTTAGCTCTCCCCCGTCATGTTTCATAACGCCGCTATTAAATCATGATTCTTTTTTTAAAGTAAATGGAACTCTTTTAATAAACTGTTATTGCAATTTCTTTTGGTTGCCGTAATTAAGGCTAAAAAATTTCCGGTTTACAACAAAAAAAAAGTTGCAGGAACGTTTGATCAAATGGGTTCTTTCGGTTCCGTTTATATGTAAAAATGTATCCTCAGTTATTCTAATAACGCCTTAATTATTCGTATAAAGCCTTAAGTATTCGAAAAAATTGAAGTTTATCAAAAATTAGCTGAAAGTAATTTTTAATACAAATTTTATTTTTGTTTGCAATTATGGATTTGTTACTATCCGATTCCATTAAAGCCGAGCATTTGCCTAACAAATTTTCCTGTTGCAAACAAAGATCTTCTTTCTTTAAGAAATTCTAAAATGGAAGCTTTTATTCTCATGCAAAAAGAAAATAAACACTATATTGTTTTAAAGTATGAGTTTAAAGACGTTTTTTTTATGTTTTATTTTGTTTATAAAACAATAATTCTTGACAAATAACCTTTAGTTAAGTATGTATTTTTTTAGCTATATTTAGTTTATATATATTATGACTTTACAGGACTTTACATCTCTGCTGCTTTATTAATAAATTCATCAGATAAAGCACATAAAATTCTTCGACTATTTACTTATGTTGAGTTGTTTGAGAAAGCAACCATTTATTAAAGATACCCATTAATCTTAAACCATGTGGAATTTTAAAAGTTTTTCTTCGCTCTCTGATGTTTTCATGGCATGTGCTTCATTTGAGTCTTTTAATTTTTTTACAAAATTAAGTGGTATAAATATTTCTGAGCTTATAAAAAAAGAAGCTTTAAACAATTGTAGAAACAAATTTGCTTCTTTTCCTTGTTTAATTGCTTTATATACAATGTTAAATAAACAAATTCGATCTATTTATGCTGAATTTAGACTATCTATTTATCCTGAATTTAGGGTATATACTTACATTAAATTACTTTTTAAATTTTAAAAAAATAAAAAGTTATTTAATGTAAGTATATACCCACGAGGTAATCATAAAACAAATTCTGAGTATTTTATGGTGTAACACAGATTATTGCCATATTTCCGAGGATAAAGATATGTGGTCACCAAATTATCTTGTTCCTATTGTGAAAAGAGAAGTTTTATGCTCAAAGAAATTTGTCAAAAGTAATTTAAAAAGAGGATCGTGTTCAGTTTTGCCAAGTGTTCTATCGCATTCTTCTGTTACTATTAAGGTTCTTAATTCATCTTGTCAACCTCCTAAAAATCTATTTAAAGAAAAAAAAAGTCATTAGTTTAATCTCACATAAAGTTTGGCACAGGTAATGAAACTAAAATTATAGATGTAAATACTGATATTACTCCTAATCCAATCTTACTTGTATTCCTTGTACATCAGATCAGTCTTCAAGCCTTCCTTTTTATGATGTTTTTACTTACTATGAGCGTGGTAGACTTCTATCTGCTGGCAAAGATGATTTAATGTTATTATACCTAGTTAATAAAATATTTATTCCTAACTTGTCTTTTGTTTTTCCTGTTTCTGGTGAAAAAAAGAAACGATCATTTTACATAAATGGCTACTTGAATATTTCTGGTTAGCTTACTCACAGATTAAAGATATTATTGTCTTCCATGTACACTGTTGGGTACAATATGAGATCGTGCTTATATGGATCATAATAATAATTGTTAACTTCATCAAATGTCAATGCATTGTCTAAACATGCTGCCATCTAGATCTAATTCAAAAAAAAATCTAATTAAAGTTGACATTAATAATCTTAGAAAAAAACTTAATATAATTATTCGATATAAATTCCAATTATAAAGATAATTATTTTTCTTGGCCGCAACGATATTGCTTTTCGAGGTCATCGTGGTGATAGAAAGTATCATCCAGAGATCGGAGAAACATGTAAATACAACATTGGTATAGGTAACTTTGTAGAGCTTTTAAATTTTCGTATTGAAGCAGGGGACAAAGTTCTTGAGCACCATATTCGTTCCGCTCCTAAAAATGCAACCTATATATTTAAAACCGCATACAACGATCTTATTAAATGCTATGGAAAAATAATCGTAGAAGTTCTAATGAAGAAAATTAAAAAGTCAGGTTATTTTTCTATCTCTGTGGCAGACAAATTTATAGAGATAATTATCTCTATGACACAGTTTCAGATTATTTCAAATATTCCATCACATCTTTACACAGATTTATCTGGTATTACTGCAACTGTTGTAAAAAAAATTTTCAAAATGTTTTTGGAATTTAGATTTTATGGAATTTTTGCATTTTTATATATTGGATATGCCTCATCCTACATCAATTCATTCTGAATTAGATTTGTGGGAAACATTTGGAACAATAAATCTGTGATCCCATTCACTATTACAGAGACTTTAAAGTCTATTGATATAAGAGGTTTTCCAAACATTAGGGAAGGTTTTTTAATAATGAGAACAAATTCAATTACTACATGAAAATGCAAGAGGAGCATTTTTTTAATACACAGACTGAAAAAGTATTTAAACGTGGAACTTATCTGGGTTAGCAACCATTGTTTTTAACTGAAACCAACTGAGAGTACTGGTTGCTTTTTTTTGCAAACGAAAAATAACCTCCTCAAAATTATAATCACAAGCATAAATAGCGTTATCATCAGCAAAATTACAAAGTTCCTCTTAACTTTAATAAATAAAAGTAAATCATTTATAAAGATATCGAACAAAATAGGTACAAGGATTAACCCTTGAGGTACCCCAGATAAATTATCCACCCATTTTAAGGCAAAAGACTCAATTTTTTTTCCTTTTTTTTACGGATATAAATGTGGGATAGCAATACGGATATAAATGTGGGATAGATTAAGACTTTCTTTCAAAAAACCATAGACGTCTAATTTAGCAATTAGTAAGTCATGCGGGATATAGTCGTACGCTTTTGTGAGGTTTGTTAATATTGATTTAACAACACCTCTGTTATTAATACAATCATGCCATTTATTAAGTAACGAAAAAAGTGCATGCAGAGTACTATAACCTCTTCGGAAACACACAAAAGTTTATTGAATTTAGGCTCAATATATATCAAGATTTGTTCATATAAAATAGTTTCAAAAACTTCAGAAAAGGCTGGTAAAATACTAATTTGACGGTAATTCAACTTATCAGTTGGATCATTCTTCTTAAAACATGGTATAACATCAGCCATCTTTAGAAATGATGGGAATTTACCATCAGGAATACTATTATTTATGCAATCTGTAAGACTGTCTCTAAATTGAACAATATAAAACTTTAACACAAACAACCGCCTCTAGTTTTTTTCTTATTATTCATAGACCCTATAATTTTTGTAAGATCATCAGGTGGATTTGATGGAACTGGAAACTATGTGTAGACGTACTAAATTTCTCTTTTTGTTTATTATACTGGGATGATCAATATACTTTTTGATAGCTGTATCAACTGGGTCTATAGAGCAAAAAAATAAAGACGAGTATATGAAATCCAGTATGTACCAGACGGCACTGCAACGTTTATGAAATAAATAATTTATTAAAAATTTTAGTCAATAAGGAGTTGTCAGAGGTGATGTTACCGTTATCAACTAAAGTGATACGTTCTTTAGAGTTACCTGATTTGACTGAAAGGAAAAGTTTAGTTAACTTCCAGAGAGATATATCTGAAATCGAGAGAGTGTTATTTTGCCCAAAATTAATTTTCTTTAGTTTAAATTTTTTTTAGTTAAATGTTGAGCGGAGCATAATTCCCTTCCGTAAGTCTTTAGTTATAAAAAGTTAATTATTACCTCTAAGTATTTTAGACTTAAGAGGGGCATACAAATTTAGAATTTTGCTAAATACTTCATTAAAAGTATCTATGTCATAACAAGAATTTAAGTTTTTATGGAGTGTTGTGGCAAATTTTATTGCTTGAAAAATTTTTAAACGATTTATATATTAGTTTTTTAGGTGGTAACTTATAAAAGGTAGATCTAAGCATTGTGTATATTAGTTGATGGTGATCACTAACACCCGTACAAAAGGTATTTGAATGTTGAAAGTACGACTTTCAATTAGCGAGTATAAGAACTGTACATGAAGGTTTATTAACCGATTATTTTTTTTTACTGAAAACTTTTTTTTGCTGAAAAATTATTTTAAAATAGATAAAAATTGTTTTGTTT